TTAATTTTTTCTGAATCCTAATATATTGATAGTTCTAATTTTCATATACATATATACCTAGACTCCTTACTAAGACCTTTTTTGCCTTTTGTTATAATAAGCTGTCAAATGTTTTTAAACATTTAGACATTAGTCAGTGATATTTTTAACCATGCTACATAACTTTATATGAGCTTTCTCTTTTTAGATATTGAAATTGGGCTTTATTATAGGGAACCATAGACCTTATTCTGGATGTTGGCGTGCTATTACCCTTGTCTATTTAGATTCAGTGGGTTGAATAATAATACCCAACTAACTGCTTATTATGTGTCAGGCACTGTTTTCAACACTTTTCTGGCATTTTCTCATTGAAAATCACAATCAGTCTATGAGTAGATGCTATCATTCATTCCAAGTGTCATATAAGGAAAAAGAGATATAAAGTGGTCAAGTAGTTTGCCCAAAAGTTCACAGCTACTAAGAACTGGAGCAGGACTTCACTCTGAATAGTCTTAACTGCAGAGCCCATGCCTGTTCTTGCTGTATACGAGGTCAGACAATTAAGTTAGTGAACTCATCCTAGAAAAAGCTCTACATACATCATTGCTGAAGTACTCCCCTTGGGAAGCTGTGCACTGATGCCAGCACCTAGTCCACCCTTCAAAGTAATTTTGGAACTCTTTTTCTGGAATGGCCATCATCGTATGACCCTTGATGTCCTGAATGTCATCAAAATGTCTTCCTTTCAATATTTCCTTTATCTTCAGATAAAGAAAGAAGTCACTGGGGGCCAGATCAGGTGAGTAGTGAGGGTGTTCCAATACAGTTATTTGTTTACTGGCTAAAAACTCCCTCACAGACAGTGCCATGTGAGCTGGTACATTGTTGTGATGCAAGAGCCATGAATTGTTGACGAAAAGTTCAGGTTGTCTTAACTTTTTCACGCAGCCTCTTTAGCACTTCCAAATAGCAAATTTGGTTAACTGTTTGTCCAGTTGGTACAAATTCATAATGAATAATCCCTCTGATATTAAAAAAAGGTTAGCAACATCATCACAACAAGTTTGCAAACTTAATTGTCAGACTTCGTAGACTGAACAGAAGATGACTTGCAGATGTAAAGTCCAATTCTTTACTCAACAGCATCAAATGAGCAGAGCTGTATATCTGCCTAGAAAAAGGCCCTCCGAACTGTGAGTGTGCATGTATCTCTTGGATGTATGTTCTACTTCAATATGGTTTTTCTTTGAGGTCTTGTAAAGGTTAGGTCAGAGGACTGTAAGGAAGAAGCAAGGTCGTGCATGACTCTATGATGAAGCCATTCCTCATGAGAGTCACCAAGTCCTCAAGGAAACTGAACTGTGACAGGTTAAGATTCTTGGAGGACACTCTTGGGTGGTTGTGAGTGCTTCCATCCACCATGTAGACCAGGAAGGGAAGACCCAGCCAAGGTCTTTTCCTAGTGTCCCACATGACTCAAATGGGCCTGGGAGCCCCAGTATTGTAACATCTGGCTCTTCAAGAGTCCTATTGCTTTGTGTGTTTGTTATCCTTTCAGTTTTCCCAGGCTTTTAGTACAGTCTTGTTTGAACAGTCCCTTCTACCTCAGCTACGGGCTTGGGCTCAGGTGTTTAAAGCTGGAGGAGTTTCCCCATGGGTTTGAAAGTGGCCATGGTGATCTGCAAGGGATGCCAAGGGAGGAGTGAGTCCTGGAGAGAAGTAGAGACTGCCTGGTTGAGCTGACACTCCCCATGAGGGGTGTTTCCATCTAATGCCATCCTTGGAGGTCTAGGTTGCATTTTGTTAAAGAAGATAACATGTCTTCTCATCAATAAGATGTGATTACAGCTCTTTATTCTTTCCATTGGTTACTACTAAAGTAGTAAAACAAAAATTTTAGACTAAATTTGGCTTTCTAAATCCCAACCCTCCAAACAGTAATTATTTTAGTCCAGGATAATCCTAAAATGTTTTAGCATTTCCTATGCTCACTTTTCCCTTTTCAGTCTTCTGCCTCCCACTCTCTGCATGAGAGGTTTGTTCTTGTCATTCTGAACTATGTTTAAAGATCACTTCTTCCGGAAGGCCTTTCCTTCACCAAACCTAAACATCACCACAACCTCTCCAGAATCACGTTACCCTGTTTTATTTCATTCCTATGTAGACTATCTTGTGTCTTTCTTTGTTTGGTGTGTTTATGAGCTGTCTCTTGCCCTGGAATGTAAGTTCCAGGGATCGGGGACTTTATCTTTGAGATACTGTGACCTCTATAACTATATCCAGAACTATGCCCAGGAGACACATAAGAGATGATTAACAGATATGCATCGAATTAATAAATATTAGTGTAAGGCAGGTAAGGGAAGTCAGAATCAAGTTGACCCAGAGGAGTACCTATAGGAATAGCGCATCTGGGCTGTGACCCTGTGGTCTGGTTAGGGATGGGAAGGAGTGATAGGGAGAGAGCAGGAGAGAGGAGCTCAGACTCTGCTGTAAGAACCAGGCCACTGGGTAGAGACATCTGGAGGTGGCACCTGGGCAGACATACACCAGCCCACACCCAGTGGATAACCCAGCCCTCACCACACATAAAACCCCAAACCTCCACACCCATGTCTCCAGCACAAGAGGAGCTGTCCTCCCATTTCTTGTGAGTGGGTGTGTGCACGTGCAGGCATGCATGTTTGGGGGTAGGCAGATGGAGGTAGCAGAGAAAACCACACATGATTCTTCCCATGAGTAGCTCTGAGTTCTCCTGGGACTGGCTGAGAAGAGGAGAAGAAGCTAGGCAGCCACTAGACCAAATTCATCCTATAGGCTTGTTTTATTTGGCCCACGCTATGTTTAAAAAAAAAATGTGCTGACATTTAAATTTAGGAGGTTTTACATTAAAACCTGGATTTCTAGGTTATTTTGACACATCAGAAGACCCGGCACACTGCACCTGCACTCCCACATGTCACAGTTAGCTGGAGCAGAGCAGCAGGCACAGCCCCAGCGGGCTCGCTCCCTTTCCCCACGGTCCCTGCCACCTGCTGGTGTGTTTACCTGGCCTCTCTCATTCAGGTCACCTGCGTGATCTTTGCAGATACTTGTTTTAGTCTCTTTTGGCTGCCATAACAAAATACTATAGATTAGGTACTTTATAAACAGTAGACACTGATTTCTCACAGTTCTGGGGGCTGGAAACCTGACATCAGGGTACCAGCCCTTTTTCGCGAGGGCCCTCTCCTGGGTCACAGACATCTCACTGTGTCCTCACACGGGGCAATGGGGCAAGCTCACTCCTGGGAGCCTCTTTTTTATTTTTGTTTTTAATTTATTGTTTATTGAAGTATAGTTGCCATACACAGTTATATTCGTTTCAGATGTACAGCCTAGTGATTTGACACTGAGATACCTTATGATGTGATCACCACAGTAAGTCTAGTAACACCTGTCACCATACGAAGTTATTATGCTATTATTGCCTATTTTCCCTGGCCTGCACATTACATTCCCATGACTTATTTATTTTATAACTGAAAGTTTGTACCTCTTATTCCCCTTCACCTTTTTCATCCATCCCCTCCACTCTCCTCCCCTATGGCAACCACCACTTTGTTCTCTGTGTCTATGAATCTGTTTCTGTTTTGTTTTGTTTGTTCATATGTTTTGTTGTTTTAGATTCCACATATTCATGAATTCATACTCCTATGTTCATTTCAGCCTTATTTACAATTTTACAATAGCCCAGATAGGTAAGCAACCTAGATGTCCATCGATAGATGAATGAATAAAGAAGATGGTGTGTGCGTGTGCGTGTGTGTGTGTGTGTGTGTGTGTGTGTAATGGAATATTACTTGGCCATAAAAAGAATGAAATATTGCCATTTGCAATAACATGGATGGACCTAGAGGGCATTATACTAAGTGAAATAAGTTAGAGAAAGACAAATACCACATACTGCATGGAGCCTTTTTTATAAGGTCTTTAGTCTCATTCCTGAGGGCTCCACCTTCATGATGTAATCACCTCCCAGAGGCTTCACCTCTTACCATCACACTGGACATGAGGATTTCAACATATGAATTTTGGAGGATGCAAACATTCATACCATAGCAGTATTTGAATTTGCAGCCTCTGGCATAATGGTTAATACACAGTGTAAATACTCAATAAATTTATCATCAATCATTGTTTTCGTATTGGTAGAATTTGTGCATAGATCACGCACTCCACTGAAACCTTCTAAGGCTCACCTTGGCTTGCCAAATGATGTCCACATCCGTAACCTGGCAGCAGTCTGACCTCTATCTTATATCCAGTCATTCTGTTACAAAGGCAGCGGTGTTCCAACATATGGGCTTTTAACTTATAGAAACAGCCCTATAAGCTTGGGAGAGACAGAAGGAGAGAAACGGAGAAACTCAGAGAGAGGGACAGACCGACAAAACAACTTAAATAATACAAGACATTCTCCTCCTCACCCCACCCCCACCCCCCATTCTACCCACTGAACATGTGCCCGTTGGCACGGAATGCAGTTAGGCCTGAAACAATTAACATGTTGACAAAATTTATGTAAAAGAAAGTGCAAATGATTTTGGTCCCCTTACCACTAACAAAGAAACAAATAAAATGACATTGTTCAGATGGTCAGGCTACTAGTAGGCTTCACAGACATCCTTGAGGAAAAACTGAAGAATAAGTAAAGACCAGAGGGAAACACTAGCTGACAAAGAGTTAGAGGGAACTGATAAAATTTATCTACAGCTTGTATTGTGTAAACAAAGTCATGTGCCCTCCTGTGATTGACTATACTATTTTACCAATGCGTAACTCCTTCTTAGCAATCTCTTCTCATGTTTGGATTATGAATTATATTTCAAAACTGCACTCTATCTGTATCTTAATTTAATAACTTGGAACTTAAAACAAACCTTTATTTTAAAGGAGCAAACCAGATTATGCATTTTAACTTTTTGAAAGTATTATAACTCACACTGGCAATCCTGAACCAATTCTGATTCTTACAGGAGCATCCAATACTCGGGCAGCCCTTTTTTGTACTTCATCCCTGCAAGACAAGTGAATTCATGACTCCTGTGCTAAAGAATTCTCGGAAAATCAATAGGTACGAAACACCATCAAGATACATTGGCTTTTACTCTTATTTTAAAAGTGTAAATCTTTTTATGTGACTCTGAAAGCTACGCTAAAAAAGAAATATTCTTTGTAATAATAACAATGGCTAACATTTATTGATTTTTACTGTGTGCTAGGTGCTATTTCTATTTTAAACACATTAATGCATTGGATTTTTATAATGCCCCTATGAGCTAAGTTCTATTATTTTACCCAGTTTACAGAAGAGGAAGCTTAAAGCACAGAGGGGTTAAATGATTCGGCCAAGGTCACACAGCTAGTTAAGGGGTGGAACTGGGATTTGAAAATTGGAAAACCAACCGTTTTGCCTTACAGCCCTACTCTTAATCACTGCACTCTATTACCTTAGCCAATGCTATAAATTTTAAGCATAAAATTGGAATCTTTAGGGGAACTCAGGAGTCCCAAAGCCTCCAACTACCTTAATGAGTGACCCTCACATTTTTTTTGGAGCTTGAGCCCTTGTCAAGCAACAGGGCTGACTGACATTTGGAAATGCTGGGATTCTAAGTGGTGGGCACGCATCTTAGAAGAAAGACTCATTTCTTTTATTTTTGGTAACTGATTTTCTACCATTTGTCCAAGTTACAACAGAAACACACAATTGTCTGTATTTTCGCTTGTTTCCCAGGAACGTCAACTACATCACATCTTGGCTAAGCTTTGTAGGGCCAGTCGTTGGGCTGAATCTGCCTCTGAGTTATGCCGGAGCAGCCTCTCAAGATAAATGAAATGGCAATTGACAGGTAAAAAGGAAAACCTCGACTGAATGTTTCACTGTTACAAAAATCCGGGTGTCTCTGTTGCACTTTAATAAGTTGTCCCTGCTGTCCCCACCATATAAGTTTACTTTCATGTTTAATAAGCTGACCACTGACTTGCTTCTTTTGGTTTTCCAGCCAACCAGCACCCGATCATTTAGGAAGCATTTCACTTCGCTATATGTAACATTCACACAACCACAGGACAGGGTGGTTTTATTTTAGAATTGATATTCATGAAACAAGTCTGTTAACCTTCCTTTATTCTCTTGGCTTTTGTTTTGTTCTTATTCTTCAGGTTCTTTCATTGAGCGAAAGAGCATAGAAATCGCAGCATGAAGAATGCTGGAAGTTTACGTGGCCCACCCTGGTTTTAAGAGGACCAATACTGTGAATTTTCAGCTCACCAAGACATGGATTTTTGATGTGGATTTTTTTTTTCCCCCTTGGAAACAAATGTCTGCAGCAACTGATACACCATGCGTTTGAAGAAACACCTCAAAGACACAAATCAATATAAATAGCAAAAAGTTAATGTAACATGATAATAGAAATACTGACATCATAGGGCCCTTCCAGGCCATTCTTTCATGTCTCTGAGACTTGTCTTCTTCATCTTTAATATGAGAATAACAAGCTACCTCAATAGAGTTGCTGTGAGAACTACATGAGATCATTAATACATGAGAAAATATTGTAAAGTATTATACAAATGTTCATTAAATGCTCACCTTTCTTATGTTTGACTGTTATTCACCCAGTCTGTCAATAAGTTGACTAGCCAGTAAAGTATGAAGATGAGCCTAATCTGGAAGAATTTTTGGTTTGGGGTTGCTTGTTTCATTTTTCATTTTAACTTGCTAAGGGCTGAAATTAAAAGAAAAAATGTAACTGGTTCTTTAGAGCATCTAGATTAGTGCCTGTCAGTAAGGGATGCACTTTGGAATCACCTGAGAATCTTTTACAAGCACAAGTGCTGGGTACCACCTTCTGAAGCAGCCTCTCTGGTGTCACCCTGATGCGCCAGGTCCTGGAGAACCTCTGGTCTGGATGCGCCTTTAGTGTGGCATTTATTTGTATTGTTTCGTCTCCCAACAGGCTTTGTCCAATTCTATGTATAACTGCGGCCAAGTGGACTGACTCGTAGCATTTGTCTGGGCATTGCCCCTGAGACCCCCAGATAGTAAGGAAGTCCAGGAGGCATCTGTTCTCAAGGTGGCCCCCTGGGGTAGGCTGTAGGGTGAAGGGATTATCTGCTGGGGGATCCAAGAGGACCACGACAGCACTTCCAGTCTGTAGGTTAAGGGCTGACCTCTCACAGAGGGAGTGGAAGTAAACGCAGGGTTAATTCTAACTGCTAGAAAAGCTAAAAGTAAATTTTAAAATGCTGAGCTGCACATATTCATGCTGGGATGAGAGCTGCTTACATGCTTGCTGGGCATTTTGGTATTTACCACTTAACATCTTTTCAACTTCTTGTAAGGGATTTCCCCGCTCACCCCCCACTCTCCCTAATGTAAACACAGATTTCTCAGCAAGTCATTTCTGAAGCCATGTCATTTTGGGGGTTAAAAAAATTACAGTAATGTTTAATCTGGATTATGTACTTGTTTGGAAATACTAGTTATCTTTTGCTAACAGATTCTGAGATGATACTCTTCTATCAGTTTGGGGCCAGTGTGTTGTTTTGTTTAAAGTTTAAAATAATTTTTTGCTTTTTTTGCTCTGATTGATGAAGACCGGAAAATTCATCAGTGGCAGAAAAAAGTTCTGAAACGCTCCTTGTAGGTTGTGGAGACCTCCCTTCCCAGATAGATCCCTCTCCTCAGGCAGCTGTTTCTTTTCAGAATTGTTTTCCCTAAAAAAACTTATAATTTTTGGTTGATAAAATTTTTCATTTTTAAAAATGCTGTTATATAACAGGCTGTTATCCCAACAGTTATAAAACATTAGAAAAAAAATTTTTGTTTTGTCAAAGTAACACTTCTTTTCTGGAATCTGAGGATTTTCCCTCCGGGTTTCCTCTCCAGCTAACACAACGAAAAACGCCTTCAACTCAGAAATGAGGCTGTTTAAATCTGCTACCAGCCAGTGTCCTACACTCTGCTTTTTGTGTGACCTTGGAAAAAAATGGCTTCAACTTTTTTGGCCCTCAGTTTTTCTCGTTTGCAAAATGAGGAAGTTTGGCTGTGTGACTTGTGACGGGGGCCCACTCCAATTCTGAGAAATAG